GTGTGAGCCTCTGTTGGCCTGCCTGCCTTCCTTCCTACGTGTTACCGTTTCTGCTTGCTCACCAGCCTACGGAATGGTTACATGTGGGCCGTCTGCAACAAACGTTTTGTTTAATGCACTACGTGTTTATCTACCCACCCAGTTGCACACATGAAAGTCGACTGCTAGTATTTAGCGGACCGGTTCTCATGGGTAACTTGAGAGAGAGGAATAGCAAGCTGAGGGCTTTTAACAACACGCAGCGTGGTCTCTTGAAAATAACTGGTGCATCTAGAATTTCTCATCACAAATTATTAGTGGATCTATCTGACTCACACCAAATAAAATGTGCACTTCGAAGATCACTGGAGAGTTACTTCACTTACCACTTTCATTCTAATCCTTTCAGATGTCATTTGCATACCACTTAATGTTCCAAATCTCAATAACTTTTATTCTGGGGTCGTTTTACTCTCTAGGGGTCTTTCTGTTTTGTATACTTGTTTGACAGGGGTAATGCGTTGCGAGCTGTTCAGAGAGACTGCATATCCGTAGCACCTCCCTGTGAGCGATGAAACCGATTTGCCACTAAAGGATTGGCTTAAAAGCAAGCGCAAACTATGCAAACAATGATTTCCATTGCGTGCGTGCGTGCGTGCGTGCGGAGGTGGGGGTGGTAATGCGGATGGAGCAAACAGTCTGCTTATGAAGGCGCTAAACATAAACGATAGATTTCAAAGCCAGTGCAACATACGATTATCCAAAGAGCAGATACCGGTGAATGAAGTGCTCCGCTAATCCTTATGTGAACTCCGATTCTGATAATTAACGTTTACATAATTTAGCGGTTTGGCCGGTATGTGTCTCTGGTTTTGAATCAATATAGTAAAGAGCCTCGCTGTAGCCCAGATCTAAGCTGTCAAGATATTCTCTGTATTGTTTATAAACCTAATTCTGAGCTCAGAAGGTGATGGGATGGAAGGTGGTGTAGGCAGTGTTGTAGTCTTCAAAAGTACAAACAGTAACAATCGCCAAAAGGCATCTACCCGGTTGGGATCACAAACCGGGACAGGGAAATGGGACGTGAGCGACTGGAAAATCCGTAGGGGCTTCATTTTTCAAGTAGTTACTTATCAGCTCAAGTTCTAGAGCAAACAACATAAGGTAAACGTGGCTGTGAAATGTTAGGGAGAACAATAAAGATACAGTGTACTTTAGGTTTTATTTGTCGAAATTGGTATCAGAATCAAGCAACGATCGTATTTCTTTCGCAATATTGTTTGTTTCCATTACGCGCATTAGTGTGATGAAGAGCAGACGAGGAAAGCCCCAGAGTCACCAAGACCTGCAGTTCACAGATGGAAGCCGACTACCTAAGCCCAGGGGACTTGGAGTGGAAGACCACATAAGATGCGGTATTGAGCCGGACGACAGCAAACCTGCTTACCACCCAAGGTGGGTGGCAATGGCGAGGCTCGAACCTCAGAACATAAGACTGTTCAATACCATATGGGATTGTGTGATCTACTTCTTCGTATATGTACTATTCAAAGACAGAATATGAACTAAGAATACGACTTGGATGTGGAGCAAGGTAGAAAGTATTAGCATGGAAAATTCATGCGGATCCTATACAGCGTCATTCATGAATGATAGGATTACTGCAAATAGTATAACTGCTAGTACTATTACTACTTTTACTACTACCACTACTACCACAATTGCTACTATTACTACTAGCACTACTACTAATGCGACTAATACTAGTACCACTACTACCACCACTATT